GACTAATATTTGGAAAAACAACGATTCATGGATAAAGATTAGCATTTAGGGATGGGTTAATCTAAAGTAATTATAGTTAGGTTTACGTAAACAAAAACTATACATGCCCATTAACTGTGTGTGTGTGTGTGTGCGTGCATAGAGGTAGCAAGGTGCAGAGTAAAAGCAAATGGAAATGAGTCACTGCGGGGCAAACTAAGATGCTGTTTTGGAGAAATACACTTTCTGCACCCGTTCTCAACCTGTCCTTCGCACAGAAACCCACACACACACACACACACACACACATACATGTACACGTATAGATACAAACACATTTGTCTGTCCCACGCAGTTGAAAGCTACAGTGATGTTCGCCCACGCAGTATTGCATTCTGCGCTCTGTGGCCTGCTGCAGTGAGTGTGTGTGTGCAGTGAAAGAGCCCTGTTTAACCGCAGTAAAAACAACATCACTTCTTTGTGCTGATATTAACATCTAGATACCTTTTACAGGGCTAGAGCGGATCGCACAACAACAGGATGCCCAGGTTTGAGATCTGCTGAAAAACAATCTGCTGAAAAAGACAGCAATCTCACATTTGTCTCTTCTGGAAATTAGGAGAGATCAATAAGAAACTTCATCCAAATTAGGATCAAAAGTTCAAATATGTTCAAAGTAGAAGTAGAATTACAATGAACTGAAATTACTATAAATGTAATTTCGAACTAAGAAAAGTCTGACATGACAAACCTTAAAAAAAAACTTGAAGTTTGAAGGTTTAAGGCTATAGGGATTTCATTATATTGATAAATTAACTTCCTCTTCCTGTCCAGTTCAACTTCCTGTCAGGTGTGGCCAATTGAATCCAAATGGGGTTATGTGCAACAAACTTCTGTATTTTGTAAAAAATAATGATAATAATAAAAAAGGGTCACTTCACTTCTGATACAGGTTTATTAAATGTGCTTTTTTGAATATTGAGCCATTTTACTAAGAGATCTTCAAAGGAGCGAGCATAGATGAGCATAAAAATCGTCTATTGCATATGCAGATTGATTCCTAAAAAGTATATTGCCGTCAGTTTGTACTGCCGTTAACGTTAATTCTTTCTCTGACAAGCGGATGCAACGAGATCTGTTTTCCTGTTTGGTCATGTGACGTTCAGCTTATCACACTCATGAATTGAAAGGGAGCCACTCATGAAAGAAATACAATAGCCTACACTTCTATTAAAGGGACATTTTCATTTTAGAAGAAACATCATACTCATGTGAAAGTGAATGATTGTTTTATCTTTTGATTGAACATTTTTCTCTGGAAGGATCTGACAGTTTGAACATGTAGGCTATACATGAATCAGTCACCAGAACGGTGGATGTGGTTTCCACCAAAGGATATTACACTATCGCTGAATAAACATGTTGAATTAATTTTTGTTAGTTAGTCAGTTTTGAGCAATAAAACGTTCAGTGGTTCTCAACCTTTTTGACTCCATTGGTCCCCCATTGTCCACAAAAATATTCAAAGGCCCCCCCCCAATACTTTTCCAGCGGTTCATGGTTTTCAAAACGGTTAAAAAAAAAATTACTCACAATTTATACCTGATAAAATATTTTAAAACTTGCCAAAACTAGAAAAATGTATATTACATTTTATATTGCATTACATTAAGATTTTATTCGTTTCCATGACTTTTCTAGAACTCACTCTTGTATAATTCTTTAAAGAAAAAAAAAAACCATGATAAAAAAATCTTAATTTTTAGTTATTTTAGCTCATTTACTTCTTGTTTTTCTTTATTTTAAAGTTATACTGAGGCCCTCTGGTTGAGAACCATGGGTGTAAGCAGTTAAAAAATTATCTAGGCCTACTATCAAAAAGAGCGTTATTGAAACTCAAGAAAGAAGATAAAGGTTGAGAACTCTGAAAAGTCCAGTACTGAGTTTGCTGATGTTCTAATGAGATTAAGTTCGTTGACGTGAACCAGAAAACCCTGTTATCTATCACTCTCACATTTCTTCTTCCTGTTTACTCATCAGTTGATGGGTTGACAGCAGTGGACGAAGCGTTCCATTGACCTAAATGACTACAAAAAGCTTTATATGTGCCTGTGGCCTTTCTCAAAATACCCAGGGGTCTGATGGGGATGTGAACTATAGACTCAAAGGTGCGTCTGTGCGTAAGCGAGCGAGCGTCTGTGCGTGAGGGTCAAAGTAGGCTATAATTGTGTGTTCGCAGCTGTATGCGAGTGTGTGAGAAACGGCCACAGCTGAGAAACCTTCTAATGGAGCAATCACGCCTGGTCGCGAGAGCGCGTATGTGTGTGTGTGTGTGTTGAGGGCACACTGCTGTCTCTGTGCTGCCCAGTAAGCTTCACTGTTCTCCGGGCAGCACATCTGCGAGATGTGGGCGGTGTGGAACACCGGTGTCTCTCCCTCTCTCACATTCTCTCTGCCTTTATTTTTTTTCTTCTGTTCTAGACATCTTCCCTTATAGGGATTTCTGACCTCTGCCCCTGTAGTAACAGCACCACCCACCCTCTCTCTCTCTCTCTCTTACACACACACACACACACACTCTCTCTCTCTCTCTGGGGGTGGGAGGGAAATATCAAAGTGTGTCATCGTGTCCGGTCGCAAAACACACGTGCATGTGACTGGCTGGTGGCCTCATCACTGAGTGACTCTCCACTGCACCTGTGTGTGTGTGAGAGAGACCCAAGACAGGAAACACAGAAATAACTGCCGAGTGTCTTCATCCTGTGCTGAAGTGTGTGTGTAAGTGAGAGGGAGGAGTCAGACACTTGCACCTGGACAGTTTGGCTCTGTCACACTCACTGCCTTCATACTGTTGCACAAAGTCACCAATATGATCAGAGACAGAGGGAGGAATAATACAGACACAGAGAACAGAAAGAGTAGCTGATCTTTTGTAAGCAAGCTCCAAAATTAAACTTTTGGCCTCACCTGGCATTGACTTAAAAAAAATATTACTAAATATATTTTTAAGATATATTTCTATAGTCCTTGTGTATTTATCATATATATATATATATATATGACAATAATAAGAACATTCATCCGCACATTGTTGACTTTCCTCTTTTATTTTATTCTTTCAAAGTGAACTTTGATAAACTTTAATAAATTATTATTAATATTTGTTATAAATAAGACATCAACATAATTTTGAAATCAATAAAAACAATAATTATAGGGTGAATTCTGAATAATTAGGCCACTTTATGACATGGATATGCCTCACAAAAATGGCCCAGTTTATAGCATTCAACGTATAGCGTTTAACATACAGCATTTGTATAGCGTTTAACGTATAGCGTATAACATATAACAAAACATAACATATAACATAAAATACACTCACCTAAAGGATTATTAACACCTTTTCAATTTCTCATTAATGCAGTTATCTAATCAACCAATCACATGCCAGTTGCTTCAATGCATTTAGGGGTGTGGTCCTGGTCAAGACAATCTCCTGAACTCCAAACTGAATGTCAGAATGGGAAAGAAAGGGGATTTAAGCAATTTTGAGCGTGGCATGGATGTTGGTGCCAGATGGGCCGGTCTGAGTATTTCACCATCTGCTCAGTTACTGGGATTTTCACGCACAACCATTTCTAGGGTTTACAAAGAATGGTGTGAAAAGGGAAAAACATCCAGTATGCGGCAGTCCTGTGGGCGAAAATGCCTTGTTGATGCTAGAATTAAAGAATTACGTCGAATTAAGGCAGTTCTGAAGGCGAAAGGGGGTCAAACACAGTATTAGTATATGATGTTCCTAATAATCCTTTAAGTGAGTCTATATAGAAGTTACGTAACAAAAACATACAACATAACACATCAAAACATATAACCTAACACAACACTTCGCAATAACACAAAACCACACAACATAAAATTAAAACATAGGCTATATCAAATAAATAAACATACAAAACACAATAACACAAAACACAACATTACACAAAAAATTACAAATCATAACATAACCTAATACATATCACATAATATCACAAAACGCACAACAGAAAATGTAACAACATTTTTTTTGTTAATTTTCTTAATTTTGGAGCTTGTCTGTTCACTAACAGCCACATAAAGAGTTAAAGAGAGTAAAACTGCTGAACCACATATAGTTCATTTCATTGAGATACAAGTGAGGCCATTTTCCATCAACACACTTTTTCACCCGCTGATCAATCAGATAGGCAGGCAGCGGTAACCACAAGGGGACATACCCAAAGTCAAACTGATTTTTATAGCGATGCGACAAGCCAGAGAGAAACATGTGCATAAATGCAAAAAATATCACCATCATACCAAAATAACCTCATGAAGGGGGGAAATGGGAGTAAGAGAGAGAGAGAGAGAGAGAGAGAGAGAGACAGGCAGAGAAAGCAAAAGAGAGAGAGAGCACCTGCACCACGGTCCACACCTACACACAGGTGTCAGGAAGAGATAGACACAAAGAGAAAAAAGAAAAGAAAAGAGAAAATAGAGCAGAGGAAATCAGACTGCGGTCAACAAAAAAGCTTTTTCTAGATTTGTCAGTGTGTCAGGGTGTGTGTACATGTGTGTGTGTGTGTGTCTGGTTCAATGAACATGCCACCACACCTGTGTGTGTATGTTGGTAGATTTGTGGCTGTACTGGACATAGTAATTCAACTAAAGACATGCAATATACAGCAGTCCCCCCCCCACACACACACACACACAAAATGCTTAGATTTCTTAAAAAATGAAAGTGAAAAGGGTCAGGTTTTGGATCATTAGAATTTATTGGAGTTTTGAACTTTAAGAATTTTTGGAGTTTAGAATTTATAAACACACTCGCATTAATTCTTCTGTTAAATCATGTGCATTATTTGAGCTGTAAAGTTTTTCACATTATCTTTTATGGTCAATATAGTGTTTTTTTAGGCCTTATGTTATCATGCCAATTTTACAACACCATTGGACACAACTTATAAATGCTTAGCAGTTTTTTAACACTAAAATCATGTTAAAGCACCAACTACGTCTCGTGAATTCAGTTCGATTGGAAAGAAGAGTTAAAATACATTTGATATGTATAGAATAAAAATGAAATATTCATACAATACAGCAATATATACACGTTACTTCTAAGAAAATGTCTACTGTAATTTAGCCATTAATTGTGACTTAAGTGTACAAACGACTTTTTGTGACCTCGGTATGAAGATCAATTTACATAGGGAAAAAAAGAAAGCAGTTGTTTAACAAATCTTGGTAATCTGACCTTCGCCAATGTTTGCGTTGAACCATACATAGCAGAAATGTGTGTTTGTAACTCCTATGCATGTCTGGCGGTGAAAACAGGTAGGTGCATATAGCACACACGTGGGAGTGTGAAGATGAATGCATCATTTCCCAGAAATCTGTCTGCTCATATACAGGTGCTGTGTGAATCATGTGTGTGTCTCATCCCAGATACACAGCCAGAGATGATAGATAACAGTGACATCATCAGCTGAGGAGCAGACGACAACACACCACATAAGACTCCCAGAATCCTCCATTCTGACGGTTCTACAAGCCCTTGACACAGTTTTTAAACCATGTCAAGGATATTACTTAAACAAAGTCAGTACCTCGTATTCAACTTAATGAGGTAAACAAGGGCAGTTACCGTCTGACAGATCAACATATAATCATTGTAATTATGCGGCTCTGGTCAGGCCAGTCAGCAGACTCAGCATATTCTCAAGGTCTATTCCATTTTCTAAAATGAGCAGCTGACTCATGTGTAGCACTTTACACAGCTGTGGTGTGAAACCAGCATATTTACAATAACCCACTTGAAGCAGGTTTGTATAGTTCACACCAGAATGAAACTTCTGTCATCATTTTCCCACCCTCATCTCATACAAATCCTGTATGACATATGTTGTGGAATACAGAAAAATACATTTTAAAAAATGTCTTCTGGTCGTTTCTGCTCTAACTCACCCTAAAGTTTTAAGGCTACAACACCTAAATGCCCCACAACAACCCAGAAAAACGTAACAACCATCTAGAAACCAACTGCCATCCAACCACAATTTTTTCCAGCTTCCAAGTCTCTCAAACGTCCCACGTATTTAAATTGGGTCCATGCCAAAATGACCTTCACAAGCCTTTGTAAAGCAATGACAAATCTTTCTTTTCTAGTAATTTCTGCTTTTGTTTGGTGATGCCAATGGCACAAAAATGACACATTCGACAATTTTCCTGAACTTATTCAGAGATATGCCTTTTATATTTACATGTGCTGCCTCCTAGTGGTAAAAAATGACATGTGCAACAAAGAAAATTACAGAGAAATAAAAAGAATTTTCCCTGAATAATAATAATAACTATAATAATGACTGGCCATTCATCCAGGTTGTCTCTCTGCCCGGTCTAGGTCACTGGGATAAGCTAAAAGCTAAATTCTATTTTTACAAATGTCTTATGTACACCTTTCCGAGTGGTTGTAAAAACTCTGGATTTCACAAAGCAAGCGTTGTGATGCATGTTACCATGAGGCAGAATTTGTCCTTTGTATTTTAAGTCTGGGGGTGATGTATTAGAATGCTGCAGAACAATAATGTCCATAGAGATCAGCAATGGGCCACAGAGCAGATGCTCTAGAGCAGACAGTATGAAAGATTTAGCTTCAGGAAATATCACTGGCAGAAGGTTGCTGCTAGCTTTGGACTGAGACTACTGACATTTTGACAGGAAAATCCACACATACACTTACAAAACAGCCCTCTCACGTATTAAAAGAGTAATTCACACCGATCTTTTCAAGCTTTACAAAAAGAACCCAAAAGAACAGTGAAATAGTCCATATAATTAGTGCACTATATTCTTCTGAAGTCATCCGATACAATAGTTTTGGGTGAGAAAAGGTGTGCTCCCTTTTAAAGCTTAAAAGCTATAGCCTATTTTAACTGCATGAAAAAGAGTGACTATCATTTTCTGTGTTTCAGTATTATTTTAGCTTCATTTATATGCGATCATAGTTTTAATATATTTTTTTTTCTCAAATTTAGTAGTTTTGTTATTTTTGGTTTTTGTTCTTATTATATTGTTCAAGTCTCCCTGCAGTCAATAATCGTACCCCTTAAAACTCATCTTTGATAATCAAAATGGCATTTTTCAATGCTTTTTCCTGTGAAAACACTTTCTTCATGCCTTAAAATATCTCAAATGCGACTACACAGTTGCTTCATTTTACCTGGACCCATTAATTTGCAAATTAGTCCCAGCCTCCACTCACTCACAGCTCGGACAACCTGATCCACTCAGTCAACTTTCGTAAATGCTACACAATGGCGAGAGGAAATATTGGTTAAATTCAGCCATATGTTTGAACCAGAAACTGATTCAGCAGAAAATGGAGTGATAAACACAGGCTTGCATACAAGTCGGTGTAAGCTTTTTTATTTTAAGTTTATAAAAAGCTTTACACGTTTATAAAAGCTACTTAAATTTCCTGATTGAACTAAGGCCTAATCCTGGCTTAATCTAAACCCTGTCTGTGAAACCAGGCCAAAGTTAACTAAAAGAATTTTACCAAAAATGAGAAATACTGCTGGGTAAGTAGTTGAAATAAAAAAATAAATAAAAGTATTTCATTAAAATTCAGTAAAAGTTTTTTTGTGATGAAAAAAAGTTTTGTTATGGTTTTAGATCTAGATTACGATAAACCAGCTATTCAGAAGATTATTAAATATGACTTTCCTCAAGAAAAAAAGGAACTACGACAGGGTGAATAAATTATAACAAAGTTTTTGGGTAAACTATCCCTTTAAAATAGAAGACAATTATGTCTTTGTGCCCTGAGTCAGAGTTCCTCTTTTTCTCCTCCAAAAGAACAGGCGACACCTGTGCCCTTTAACCCACAGTATCCTTTAGGCACCTTGTGCAGATATTGCTGGTGATAGTCTTCAGCATAGTAAAATTCGGTGTGCTCTCGGATCTCTGTGGTGATCTTACCCAGGCCATTCCTCGCCAGCGCCTAGCAGAAGAGAAGAGAAAGAGACGTAAATGATGACACATTCTTGATATCAAGAGGATAAAATTGATTGCAGTCCAGGGAGAAGCAATTCGATTTGAACTGAAACAACACTTTCTTGTGTGCGAGATGTTAAAGGAGTAGTTCACTTTAAAAAAAACTTTTGCTGGTAATTTACTCAACCCCATGCCATCCAAGATGTCCATGTCTTTCTTTCTTCAGTCGAAATGAAATGAAGGTTTTTGATGAAAACATTCCAGGATTTTTTTTCCCATATAATGGACTTTACTGGTAACCAAACGATTCAACGTCCAAAAGACAGTTTCAGTGCAAACTGCAAACTGTTCAAAGGGCTTTAAACGATTCCAGATGATGAATAAGGGTCTTATCAAGTGAAACGATCGCTCATTTAAAAAAAAAAATACAGTTTAAGTTTTATAAGCTCAAATGGTCGCGTTGCTCTGTTCTGTGATGCACGTTCGTGACTCTCCTGTTCGAACTCGTTTATCAAAATGAACGAAACTTTTCCCGAGTCAATTTGTTCATTTCGTTCGTTGAATGAACCAAATGACATGAAAAAAAGATTAATTCATTTTGATATAAATATCTTGGATATCTTGGATGACACGAGGGTGAGTAAATTATCAGCAAAAGTTTTTTTTTTGTTTGTTTTTTAAAGAGAACTACTCCTTTAAAGCCATTAGTGTCCAAAACTAGGGACATGGTTGAAGTTCTGTCTCCCTCTAGGGGTCACTTCTGTAAACTCCAACAGCAGAAAAAAATTGCTTTAGGTAGTACTAGTACAAACATAGAGAACAAAACACTTTTGAACATCAATCACAGTATTTCTAAAGCTCACGTCTCTAGAACTGAAAGAAAAAGAGGAAAGAATTATTGCGCTGGTTTTTGAGTCATCACATCACATGCTGGTTCAGATCTCAGTCACTAGGTGGCGACATAAGTCTGCTGCATTAACTGCACTTCTGATTTAATAGCTAACAAAAGAGGCTGTATGTGCACCATAACATCCCAGAGACATCCTGACATCCTAACAACAGCCGGGACATAAACAAAACAAAGATACCTACAACAACATAAAGCCAACATTCCCCATATGCTCTGTATGTCAAAATCTTGCCTGTGAAAATTAACATTTTTAAAAGGCAAAAAGTTGAGAATGATTTTACTGGATTATTACATGTTTACACACTTGCTACAGTGAACAGGAAGATGAGTGTAAAGAGAGGACCAAACACTTGATGAGAAAAATAAATCATTAATTAAATTCTGATTTAATTATAATGTCATTTTTAATAATAATTATTATCATCACAATGACTCATAAATAAAATGCTGTTATTTTTGGTAAAGTATATAAAAAAAATATCCCGTAAAAAAGTAATACATTAAATAAATGAATTAATTTAGTTCATTTAGGCCTTTTTATGTGGTTCTAAAGAGCACATTGGTTTACTTTCCTTGAATTAATTAATTAATTCATCTGGCACATGAAAAAATATTTTTCACAAAAAATATATGTAATGTTTTTTTTTTATTTTTTTTTATTATTATTCTTATGGGGGCTAGGCCTACATTGGTAGGCCTGGATGGGCCAACAGATCTATTTTATTTTATTGTTGAGCCTTTTTTATAACCCTTTAAATTGTGCACATTATTTAAAATAGTGTAGGCCTACACTAAAAGCAAAGGAAGTGTCAATTTGGGAAAACTGTATGTGTGTGTGGAAAAGGTGACAGAAACTTGGTGGCCAAAGCTCAAGGTCTGTGTCTCTCTGATGGAGGAGAACATTTTTCTGGAAAGTCAAGTAGAGAGAGAGAGAGAGAGAGAGGGGGGGGGGGGGGTGCAAGGAGAGCGTGATATATTACATAAGCATTTGCATATCTGAATATGCTTCATGTGACTCTGATGAATCAACTAATGCCACTAACACAAGAGGGGTTCTGCATCCTTAAACACACTCATGTTATTATTAGTCCAACTATTTGCTGGTGTATATACTGTCTTCATTATAGCTTTTCCACAACCAGAATTCCCTTAATATTCCCATTAGACTGAATTTAATTTGGGTTTCTCTGTGTGTCTCTGGGCACAAACTTACCTTATAAGACTATTTACACACACACTCACAAATCTACATGTGCGCACTAACACACAGTCCCTGTGTGCGTTTAACTGCAACTGCTTGTCCTACTTTTAACATAAATAATGAATATTAATGCAGCTCTTTCTATGAACTAAAAAGCTATGCTGCAAAATATCTGAATATGGAAACCGACAGTGTTTTAGCTTAGCTATCTTGCGTATCGTTTCTGCTTTAGACTATATAATCTCTGCTAAAAGCTGAGATATATGAGAATGTGATTCACTTTAGGCCAAACATTCAAAAGGATGATAGAATAATGGTAAAAAACAAACAAACAAACGAACAAAAAACAACAGTGTAAAGGGCAGGCCAAGGTTGTTCTGTGCATCTCCACCCATGTTTAGTCTGCATGTAAGCATGTGTGTGTGTGTGTGTGTGTGTCTGTGTGCATGAGATATAGTCAGGAATCCATTTTGTCATACTTGGCTGTTCCTGCATTTTGTGAGAGGGAATAAGACAGTGGAGGGTCATGTGACCTGTGAGAGGAGACAGATCAAAGTGCGAGAGCATGAGCATCTATATGTTTAAGATTCCATGGCATGGAACAGAGAGAGAGAGATTTTGTTTTTAGGTAGAGCGCTTTTGGGAACCTGAGCTAGGCATCACTAGCGATTAACATTTTTGAAGAAAAACTTATTTATTTAAGCCAATTACTACTATATTTATGATTATTACATGGTTCTTTTCATTATCAAAATCTGCTAGCATGGTCGAAATAATTAAATCGTTTTCCTTTATTCTTAAAGTCAGAACCAAACAACATTCAAATCACATTTGGTTTCCATAAACTGACATATTTCACAATAAAACAGGATATTTCACCCGAAGAAAAAATAGGGGAAATTGATTAGATTGTGAATTTAACTGGTTAATGTCAGCTAAAAAGAATTTTACATAAAACTTTTTATTGTTTTTACAAGGGTTATAAAGAAAACAAGAAAAACATGACTAAAGTAATAATGAAGTAAAAAAAAAAAATGCATATGGGTGCTACATCAATACAGTCTATTAATTTCATTAAAAAAAAAAACCTTTTTTACATAAAAATCTTACATTTTACTAAATTTTATTTGGATGATAAATATTATGATAACACTTTGAAGTGGGAATAACAATAGCATTGCACAAAAAACGCAAAATATAAATATTCTAATAAATAAATGTACATTTTTACCTTAAAATGGTTTTTATCCCATTTGTGCATTGCATTCCCCCCCCCATATCTCTCCACATTATTTGATATGGGGCATAAAAAGAACATAACATATCCATAATAAATAAATAAATGAATGAAATGTTGGTGTCTGCAGCATAACACGCACAGATAAACAAAGAAAATTCATAAACTTCCATTCAAATCCCCAAAATAACTCCTCAGAGAAAGTGCTTCACTGCAGCAGAATTGTACCTCCACTCTCTCTCTCGTCTCGCTCTCTTTGACTACTGAATAAAAACTCTTTGATGTTCTGCAAATTCCTACATTTTATTACAGCACCCCTCCCGTCCCATCCTCTCCTCATCCACGGCATTTAAAAGAGCGTTTCTTCCTCTCCCACTCCTGCTTTTCCTTCTCCCTGACTGCCCTCACTGATGGCAGAGTTTTGAGAGACTCTGATGGAGTGCAACTCTCAACGGGTGCTAATAATTCATTTCCTGTCTGCATGTGATGTCAGTGTCTGATTCATCACCTGAGTTTGACCTGATGGAAGAGTCCTCAAAAAGGCCTCATCAATCTCTTCACACTCATCACGCCTGTCTTTCACTTCACTGTCCCTCTTCAACATTTTCACTATCCACTGCGAGGCAATCTGTGCTGCTTTTCCGTAGTACGTGAACACAAACGCACATTCCTCAATATTTTAACAAGACTCTGGGCTAACATGTCTAATCTCATCACTGCTGCTTATGTAACCAAGCTGCTCTTCGAAACCACTTCAGATTTGCTCTGCCCTCGGAGAGAAAAGGATCAGGAGGGAAGCACAAGCATCGACTGCAGGGAAAAGCTATAAAGTAGAGTATATTTGAAGAGTTCAGATGCAAAAGCCTCTAAATGCCATTTGAAATTTTCTTCTTTAATGATGATTTTTTTATCAAACTTGTATATTTAAGTTCAGTAATTTCACTTAAATAAAAATTAATAGGTAATTATCATTGCCATTTAGGTGAAATTACTGAACTTAAATATACAAGTTTGATAAAAATCATCATTAAAGAAGAAAATTTCAAATGGCATTTAGAGGCTTTTGCATCTGAACTCTTCATTTGTCGCACTTTTAATAAACATAATTAAAATAGATTTCATGCAATCCGGAGCCATTCGTTCCATTCAAAAGGTCATCAGGTTTCAGGTCATATCACCTACTGTACAACTTCACGTGCCGTATAGAATTTCTAGAACAGTTTATTTGCAATACTATTTAAACAATAGTTCTATACTATCAACACCAGTTCTCGTATATATATATATATATATATATATATATATATCTTATATTGATCATTATTTAGGCAACGTTTTTCTTTTTTTTATTCATTAAGGATGCGTTAAATTTATAAATGAAATAAAATAATAAAACAATATTTAAAATAAATTTCGTGAAAAAATAATCCTGAAAAAAGTATCACCGTTTTAACCAAAAACATTAAGCAGCACAACTGTTTTCTCCATTAATAATAATAAGAAATGTTTCTTGATCACCTAATCAGCATCTTAAGAACATTATGTAACACTGACTTCAAGTAATAACTTCTGAAAATTCAGCTTTGCCATCACAGGAGTAAACTATATATATATATAAGTGCATGTCTGTCCAAATCATCTATGTATTCTCCTATCTTTATTTAGCAAGAACACTTTAAAACATTATAAATTTAAACACTTTAATACACATAAAATGTTATTGGTCCATTTTAACCCCTGCTGACATGCAATTTGCGGGGTCCTCACTACATCTGTGTGTGTGTTCATTTTAAGCTTGTGGGGTCACAAGGGCCATCAACAGCATGTCCGTTTCGGTCCCCTGATCTGATTGCGTCCCTTTAACCACAGCTGCCTCCCGCAAGCCTGACCTTTCACCCCTGATGCGCACAAGGCCAAGGCCAAGAGGGGTCACCCAACCTCCCTGCCACCGCCTCATTCCCCTCTCACCCAAATCACATCTGAGCCCTAGAAGCAAGGCGGATGACATGAGGAGCAAAGCGTACCACGGTGATGTTAACCCAAGCTCCTGCATCTCACAAAACAAAGCATCATCACGCTAGTTCGACAGGCTAACAGTCCAGACAATCAGATGAGCATCTTTCTGACAGGTGTGGGCGGTCAGTGTTTGACAGTGGACAGTTTGAGAGAAGAGAGGACAAAAGTGCTTCTGAAGATGTGGTGGGGAAGAAAAAGCAAATCATTGGCTAAATCTGTGGTTATATTTTCTACACTAAATTTAATAAAGCATTCATGTTTTGGTTGGTATTTGTTTTTATTTTATTTTTTTACATTTCTCACCAAGGCTGAGTTTTGGTTTATCACCATTTATTTGATCAAAAATACAGTAAAACTACAATAATTTGTTTTTGTGGAATATTATTATAATTTAAAATAACTTTATTAAACATTTTAAAATGTAATTCACATGTACAGTAATTCAATGTAATTCATTCCTGTGATGGCAAAGCTGAATTTCAGCATCATTACTCCAGCTGTGACAGTGAAGAGAATCTGTGTCACAAATCACGACCTTCACTTTCCTTTTTGCATGAATGGAGTATTTCAGTTAATGTTAATTACGGATGAAAGTTGAATATAAGGAAGTGTGTTGTACCTGAAAAATACGCATCATCCATTTGTTTGTGTATTGAGAAGTTTGCCAGTTGGGATCGTGATGGATGGATTAATGGGGAAGGACGGCCGCTTGTCAATCTGGAATTCAAAGTGGAATTCGTTTCACTTCCAGACTAACTGATTTCTAATCTAACTAACTGTTCTAAAGACGAGCCAAAGCTGCTTATCCGCCTTAACTAGGTGTCGAAGATGACACGCGATCTAATCGCTTCTTGTCTGCAAATGTGCATGACACAAGGTTTTCTGCATGGATTTTAAAAACTAATGAACTAGCTAGTGTTGAACTTTCTTTTTTTGTTTTGTTTTTGTTTATTTATATCCATTTTCTCTTTTTTGTGTTATAATTATTATTATTATGAACAGTATATCATTTACGAATCCCTTGTGAACTGAATTTTTCTGGGATTATTACTATAATTTTAGTGTGTAACAGGTGGTTACATTTTGGCTATCCTGGGTTGATTTAAATTTTGACAGGTTTTACCCAGTCTGGCACCCAAAGTTTTCTTTATTTGTGTTGGTGCGGCCACATGATCACATGAGTGTGTCACATAATCCTTCAGAAATCATTTAAATATGCTGATTTGCTGCTCAAGATACATTTCTTATTATCAATGTTGAAAACAGGTGTCCTGCTTAATATTTTTGTGGAAATCATGACACACTTTTTTTTTTTCAGGATTCTTTGATGAATACACAGTTCAAAAGAACTGCATTGCATTTATTTGAAATATAGATCATTTGTAACAATACAAATGTCTTTACTGTCACTCCTGAACAATTTAATCCATCCTTGCAATTGATACAAAAATTAAGTACATTAAAAAATAGAAAAATAAATCTTACTGGTACGATACGATTTTGAACGATAATGTACTTAATTGCTCATGAATCCCCCCTCTAATACATCATTTAGAAAAATTACATCCCTTAGGGGACATTCTCAAATGTAAAAATAATTATTAAATTAAAAAAAATTATAAAAATGCATTATCCATTATATTTAATTTTATATAAAAACAATAAAAGTCTATGATATGTCCTTATTTTAGCTAAGTAATATCTAAATAACATAATTGTAATAAAGGGTTTGAAGGGGCTAGTGTTAGGGGTTATGAAATATCATTAACTTATTATAAAGGCGACATGATACAATGTAAAGTTTGTGTGTGTTTCGAGATACTGCACCTCCTGGTACATATGCTTGCTCATCATGGCCAGGTCTTGCTGTTCTGGGCTGTAGGTGTAGATGGCAGAACGGTACTGTGTGCCATGGTCATTCCCCTGTGCCATTCCTAAAAAAATACACACACATATACACATAATTTAGACCCATTTAAAATCTCACACCTCAAGAATTTGCAGTTATTTAAGATACACTGAATATGTCAATATTTTTAATGATGTTTCTAACATTATCAAGCAACATTCGATTCTACTGTGATGTTAAAGAAAGAAAGAAAGAAAGAAAGAAAGAAAGAAAGAAAGAAATACAGCAATCTTGGATTCATTCGCCCCTTGGTAAAATATGGGAAGCTATTTGTGTTTCAGCGCATTCCTGTCATGTAACCTCCACAGTGAATTTACTCTCTCATCCATCTTTCCGTAGAACTGGATGTCGGACATCTTGTTGTGCGCTCTCTACCGTGTGGTGCCTTCTGTAGCTCTCTCTCTCTCTCTCTTCAAAGGCCAACACACTGCATTCTGATTGGCTGGTCCTACAAAGCCAAAGCGACAATCACTGACCTTCCTTGTGACCCTGAGGCCTGTGTCATCAATGCCGCCAAACACATAACAGAGCCAAATTATAGAAAATGTTTCTAGAAAGAACTATTTGCACACTTAATTAGCACTTACACATGTATGAATGCCACTGCACAGACTCCAATATCAAATCAAACATTTACAATCAGATTTTTTGCAAAAATGAGACATTTTTGCAAAACCTTTTAAACATCTAGTAGATCCACAGTCAGTTCCCCACAATTTAACATGTGTACACAGAATTAACTGTGGAAATAATCCACTAACGTTTGATATCCAGAGACCACATAGCCTACCTTTAGTTCAAAAGTCAGAAGAAGACAAAGAAGTCTCTTATCCTCACAAAGGCGGCATTTAGCATTTTCAAAAATACAAGTAATAATATTGTGAAATATTATTACAATTTACAATAGCTGTGTTCTATGATGATATATTTCATGTAATTTATTCCTGTGATCCAAACTGAAAAATCAGTATCATTACTACGGTCTTCAGAGTCACATGATCCCTTTATTGAAATTATTCCAAAAAGCTGATTTGGTGCTCAAAAAACATGTTGTTATTTAATGAAATGGCATTCAGACATTTTTAAAGTGAGGTTTAAGTGCCCTCATATTTTTAGAGCCACACTGTATATCAAAACCCTTTTTTAAAATTGCTCTCCTCACAAAAAGAGTTAAAAACAAAAAGGAAACAGCGAGCACTCAATGTACTCCACCCGTGACAGTGGAGCACTTCTTTTTACAGCCTCCATCTCAGTGCTTAGTTATTATTGATGATCCTCCATGTTCAAGCTGAATAATATACAGAATCTCTCCTCTCAACACACACACACACAAACCACACATGAACCGCGAGTGGAGAACACTGCAAATGTGTTGTCAGCGCACAAACAGGGTGAGAGCAGAGAGCTGGGCAGAAGCTGACTCCATAAATGTCACACACAGTCTCTGTCTCCCCATAATACAGCTCTCCCGCAGGAAAACTATTTCTGTTAATGCAGAGGTCAAGAAGCTTCACCCTTTGCTTTAGAAGGAGGGGGAAAAGGAAAGATTTACTATGTGTGCTTGTGAGTGAATAAGCTGTACATGCACGTGAAAGTGCACACACACACACACACACACACACACACAAGAAAACACAGCCTCATCCTGACAGGGATCAATCCAGACACTTCAAATATCAGCACTTATGTGGCTTCTCCAGGTGGGATGACGAGGAAGGAGGGGAGAAAAAAAAGATTTGGAAGGGTGGATGAAAAGGAAAAGATGAAAAGGGCTTGAGGACAGTAGCAGTAGTTCGCAAGTTACAAGTAAGAAACACAGATGTGTCATTGTTTATTCACCTTCATGTTGTTCCACACAATAGATGTCAATGGTTACCAAATATAAATACACACACACACACACACACAATTATTCAACCCCCATTGCAAATCAGATTTATTGGCAAAATTTACAGACTTTCAGCTGTTTGCAATGAACAAATCAAACAAAAGTTATTGAAATAGCTCAACACAACAAATGTTTCCAATGGTTTCCCCAAATTCAACTTAAAAAGCAACTTTTAATGACTTCTGCAGTCTCAAAACTATTCAATCCCTTCATGGTAAGCATCTTTAGTACTTAGTAGAACACCATTTTGCAGTTATTATGACCTGATATAAACAAAAGGTATAACCAGACACCAGCTTTTGGTAGGATTTATGAGGAATCTTAGCCCATTCCTCATGAACAATGGCCTCTAGTTCAATAAAATCTTGCAACCACCTTCAAATCCCACTGGATATGGGGTTCAAGTCCGGTGACTTTGATGACCACTGTCTTCCAGGACTTCTTCTGCAAACAAGACTTGGTGGAATTTGAGGTATTCTTGGGATCACTGTCCCGTTGGAAGGTCCAATGACGCCCAAGCTTCAGCTTTTAGGCCCCTTAGTGCTAATTGGGCATCGTTTAAATGCCACAGCCTACCTGAGCATTGTTTCTGACCATGTCCATCCCTTTATGGCCACCATGTACCCATCCTCTGATGGCTACTTCCAGCAAGATTAATGCACCATGTCACAAAGCTCAAATCATTTCAAATTGGTTTCTCGAACATGACAATGAGTTCACTGTACTAAAATGGCCCCCACAGTCACCAGATCTCAACCCAATAGAGCATCTTTGGGATGTGGTGGAACGGGAGCTTCGTGCCCTGGATGTGCATCCCACAAATCTCCATCAACTGCAAGATGCTATCCTATCAATATGGGACAACATTTCTAAAGAATGCTTTCAGAATCAATGTCACATAGAATTAAGGCAGTTCTGAAGGCGAAAAGGGGTCAAACACAGTATTAGTATGGTGTTCCTATTAATCCTTAAGGTTAGTGTACATATACAAAAAATACATTATACACACCCTCATTCCCTCACTCGCTCAACCAAAAAACTATATACGCACACCCACCCACTCACATACATCCGCAAACAATACAAACAAAACTAACACAATTGCCCCCCTCCCTACTGAGTGATCTACCATAAAATATAATTTAAAAAAGAATCTTTACATAGATCTTTTCCATAAAATTAGAGTTAGTCAAGTCAAGTATATTTATATAGTGCTTTTCACAATATAGATTGGATCAAAGCAGCTTCACAGTATCAATCAAAACATAATAAGAATAGTTAATGAGAGTTAAGTCTAAATTCACTTGTAGCATTTTAAAACGACAGATTCAACTTTTCAAAGCAGTACAGAATTTTGAAATTGGCAGTTTATCCGTAATCAAAATAACACAAATTACATGGTTTACCTTTATGGTGAATCTTGTTGCGTGGAAAAAAATAACATGGTGGTTTGAAACAACAAGAAGGTGAGTTAGAAATCACAGATTTTTATTTTTTATTTTGAGGCGAACATTTCATGTGTGTGCTGTGTGGCTGCCTGGCTGGATTATGAAGTCTGTGGACTGACTCCAGAGATCTCTCCACATCTTTCAAAAGCTACATTTTCGTTGTCATAAAAAATGTCAATCATGTGTCATACTGATGGCTCCAAATCTCAGTCGAATGGGTTTATTGCTTTACGCGTTTTGACGACCGAAGTGCCTCTCAGTGTCTGCGGATAAAACAACCTACTCTACCCACTAAGGAGGCTCAAATGTAAGCCAACAAGAAGACATACAAACAGTTTGGCTATTGTGTGTTTGTTTACTAAGCTGATGGAGAATGTCCATAATGTGTTTGTGATGGTGCATGTGTGATGCTTTTGCAGGGTTTTGGTGAGTGTATGTTTGTGCATTTATGTTTGTGTGTATGATGCAGGCTTATATGTGAGTGTGCATGTGTGTGAGGGGTTGTTCAGAGCACTGTTGTGTGTGCCCTTTGGGTACGGTGAAGCAGTGTGCGTGCGAGAGCAGCCGACTAAGAGGAATGGTGCAGAGCCGGGTCTATTTTTACACCTCTTATGTAACACACATATACACACAACCTTGTTCTCGCACACACACCAATTCTCTTTGCGAATAAAAATACATGATTAAATTGTGTAGTAAATGTAAAATGGTTTGTTAATACACGTGTGTTTGTTATTTTTAACATGTAGCCGGTTAGCCGCTAGTATTTGACTGATGAAAATGTTTTTTTAAATTAATTACACACCACAAATAATGCTCTCTCGCTCTCATTTTTCTTCCAGAAAAGAATTATATATCAATGAAACACTTGCTCCGTAACTGTAAAATACTCTGTGGCAAACATACATTGTTGCTGTTGGTATTCAAGGCCTAACAGTGAAAAATTGAAAACCAAACTGAAGTGTGAAGGCTATGGCACAGTGGGTAGTGCACATGCTCATGACACTGAGAGCCATTGTCCACACAGAGATGCAGGTTTGAATGTAGGCGGTCATATTCTAATCTCAATCCTTTTCTTCCTCCCTACACTTTCCTTTCGCCATAATTTTAAAGGCAAATAGCCTGTAAAATAAAATAAAATAAAACAGCAATGCTACGGTTTTAATTTTTGTTTATGTTACGTTGTGCTGGCCGACATCTTTAGACTAGCTGTGCGGAACTATTAAATACTTGCAGTGATAATGTAATAGAAATTCATAATTTCATGAGTAAAAGTGGCCAAAAGCATTTGGGAATATGCATTTGTGTATATGTACGTATATATGTATTTGAGAAAGGTCTCTTATGTTCACTAAGGCTGCCTTTATTTTATTTAAAAAAAAAAAAAACCCTCCAGCAAAATCATGATTTTTTATTTATTTTATTTTAATTAATTCCTGTAATGACAAAGCTGAATGTTCAGCAGTAAATACTCCAGTCGTCAGTCACATGATCCTTCATCACAATATGCTGATTTGGTGCTTTTCGATGAATAGAAAGTTTTTATTTGTAAAAAGGTTTCAACTGCAAGCACCTTCAGAAAAGCAACAACAACAAAACATCCAAATCGGTCCAATATGCCTGAAAAATAGGCTCAGTTTCTTGATTTAAAGAAAACAATGTTTTCTTCCAGCAAATTCTAGCCCTTTTTCCCCATCAAACAGAAAGAAGCATCTCAACCGTTTCTCGTCTACTCTCCATAAATGACCTCTGTCAGCCCCTCCCCCTATAGCTGATTGACAAACTGTAATGAGCCCCCCTCGTCGGGGGGAGGCAGGGGTCGAGGTCACCCCCCGAGAGGCACGTGCCCGTTGCAGACTGAACCCCAAAAAGAAGGGGGGGTCTTTTCTTTTTGTCACATTTGGTGGCTTGTGCACAAAACGGTGTTCGTGAACCCAATAACCTTCGTTTTCAATGACAAATCAAAAGTGTTGCTGAGGGATTATAGAGATCCAAACAGCTTCGGCACATAATTAGCTTGTGTATTGATGTTTTGCTCTTCAAGGTTCAATATAGATAGCAAACGTGTCAGTCAGTCACAGGTTACACACTGAAGGCAGGTGGAAAACAAGATTTAACGTTTACAGGCCTGAAACATTGTAGCTTTGGAGCGCCTGCGTCAGCCATCTTGTCTCTACCCCTTGAAGCGTGCATTAACGCATCTCTCTGACGCAGCAGCTACATAAATACTGCAAATCAAGAAAAAAACATGACACGATAAAAGATGAAAGTGGCAAGACAGAAAAACGAGGACAAAGAAGGAGAGAAACCCGCCCTCTTGCCTCTCACTGTTAGCGGAACGAGGGATGGCGGAACGAAGAAAGTGACTAAGAGATAAAAGCGGAGGGTAAGAATGAGGAGTCACTGCGGAAATGCGGGTGGGATGATGGAGAGGGGGAGCGAAAGATGGAGGAGAAGGAGATGGGGGAGGAGAGGAGAAGAGAAAAGATAAGATGCTGTTATCCTGTAGACATACTGAGAGCCCTGGGGTCCGCTGGGAATGGGGAGGGAGGGAGGGAGGGGGGTCTTTCTTAAACAAGGAAGTAACAAACTGCTGAGGCGATCAAGCGTGTATGTGCTTCTCTCATGTGTGTGTTCGCGCTGCACTTCTCCGTTCTATAGTTTGCCACAGGCGATATAATTGTTACACTGGCTTCAGTCATTTCCTGTTCGTCAAATCCATCCAGGAACCCAATTTTCCTGACTCGCCTCACCCCACCCTCGGCTTCCAGTACCATCTTTGTCAGCACAGCCAGAGATGTAGCATGACGGCATGAAATGCAGCCTATATTTTTAGAAAATGAGCGTAGGGTTTAAGGAAGCCACCACACGTTTTCAATACCATGACCTAAAGACTCTGCCAGAGCAAGTGTTGCTGGGTATAATATGGGGTACGAAGAGGAGCGTGCTGGGAGAGTTTGATTGGCTGTAGATGTTGCTATCCCAGCCGTGATTGGACGATTCCAAATCATGCTGCTGAAAGCAGAACCCTTTGAACTGTGAGACAGCAGCTGAATACACAGGTCTTTGTGCGCAACGGGAACAACCGTGCATGTATGTATCCTATGAAACCTCACACATTTAAAGTTTCACAACATACATAGATCTCTACCCGTGATTCAGAGTAATGACGAACACGCACACACACGCAAGCACAGATTCATAGTTGATATGATGTGAGGGTTCGGGTACGGACAAATGGAGTGTGCGTTAAGCATTCATGGATGAACAGCCTACAGAGATGTTCCCGATCTCAACAGCCAATTGCAGTGCAGCGGCCTGTGCTAAAAAACACAATCTGATGCTTGTGTCACGCACATGGGCCATGCTCGTCATCCTGCTTCCCAACCCAAACTCCTGCAGGGTCATGAAACACAGCCTAAGTGCACATTTAAATGTCAATCCAGGTGAGTAAGTTTCATACAAGCAGAAGACATGTTCTCACATGACTGTGAATATGTGTGTTCATATGTGCGGTCACGATGGTTGACTAGTCTAGCCTATGACAATGCAATAAAATGATAAATATTAATTTTTATAATGAATATACATTTTGTAGTTATGTCAGGCTGTACAGTTTTTATTGGGTGGAAATTGCTATTCATGAGTAAATGACTATAAAAGTCATGTATATTCCTTGGTGTACAAGAATAATGATAGAATTTAATTATTTTAATTGTTATTTGGAATCGGAATAAAAGGCAGCGAGTTCTTTTTTTTGATCTACACTAGTTTGTAAAATGCTATGCATCTCTAAGACAAACAGTTCAGCTTAAAAAAGAAACGCACCTTGAGACCTCTTCTCAGCGTTTTATTCTGTTGCACTCTGTCTACCTGTTTTCTAACGCAAGAATGGATCTTATGCAAACACCCCCTAAGAAACGCATCAGATCGGGTTGGGTAGACATCTTCCTAAGCCAGTCTAATTATACAAGACATCCATAAAGGTATAGTTAATTCAAAAATAAAAAGTCTGTCATCCTTATCTGTATGATTTTTTTTTCTTCCACACAATGAAAGTCTGTTGTTTGGATATTATAAATATTCTTACTTAAATTTTCTTATAAATATATTAGTTTGTGTTCTGCACAAGAAAGTTCTACAGGTTTGAAACAATATGAGTGGGTGAGTAAATGATGAAAGATTTACATTTTTGGGGGACTATCCCTTTAAGATCAGCTGGTCATTTAATTGCTCGGACAACCCACAGACTAATCGATTTTGAAAATATGTTATCTGCACATCCCTTGTATTCTCATAGGTAAAGGAAAACAGAGCAAGGTAGATGTTTAATCACATTTGAAGTCCATTTCTGACAACTAACCCTGGCTTCTAGGAGTAATTTTCTGCGCTCTACTTTCTGGGGCGTTCTGGCTGACAGGTTGACGGTGTTCTAAGTGACTTTTTAAAGTTCAAACACCTTCAGAACATGATGTGAATTAGAGAGCTGGCACAGAACCGAATACACAGTAATCATGTCGGTTCAAGCTGATGATTTGACATAAAACCACTCCATGGTCCTTAAAACCATACTCTGACTTTTAGGGGCGTGTCGATATATAGGCACGCATTACTGACCTTCAAACGGAATGTGTGTACCTTCCATGAAAAAAAAATACAAACAAAAAACGTTATTACAGGGTCTGACTAAACGAACCACAGACGTCATATAAACTATTCAAGCGGAGACTGTAGTCCCACAGTTCAGCGATGAAGGAGAGCCGAAGAGTTATGTGTGTGTGCTTCAGGTCCTCAGGGTCAGGCTTTATGAATGTTTCAGAAGAGTGTCTCTTCCTCTCTTCTCTCTCTGTTTCAGGGTGACTGAACACAGAGCGCCAAACAACAGCTTCATGCTGCAGCCACACTGTTACGACAGACAGAACTTTAAATCTATTTATGTGTCTGTTTGGGATCACCAAGTCTCTCTGCTCAACCAATTAACTGAATGGAGTGAATTTATTTTTGTGTATTTATATATCAGGGTTTTGGAGTCTCATCTTTTGCGCTGGATTTCAAACAGACAGCAAGGCTGATATATTCTCAAACGAAGACCTGAAGGACAACACAGACGGCAAATATCAGCTGTGTGTTCAGGATTGGGTCTGTTTCCAGTGGATTGGAGGAATAGGTGACGCTTGCACTAATGCACACATGCACAATGTCTCTTTTCCTCTCATGGCTGAATTGGTCTCAGACACATTAACATAGCCAGTCTGAGGCTGTTCCAATTCCCGCAAGATCATCCTGACCATCCAGCACTCACATACACATGCACAGGGCAGTGTGAACAGACAGATGCAGCCATGTTTTAACCTCATGAGGCCGTTTGCTTTTGGACCACTGCATCTCACACCCAGGGGTCTTTCTATGGACATCTGTGTGAGTGAATGTTTGTAGATGTGAGGGAATAGGTGTGTTTGTTTACCTTGAGTGGGGTCATGGCTCTCCCAAAAGACTTTGAGAAGTTTCTCTAAGCTGATATCTTTAGGAGAGAAGACCACTCGCACTACTTCGGTGTGCCCCGTTAGACCTAAAGAAAATGGCAGGAAAAAGAAGTAACGCACAAATAGAACTATGCAATTGTTGAGTGATTTTGCAGTCTATATTAAATTATGGCTATAGAAAAGGATGTTAAGTATTTTAATGACTCTATTATTGTCTGTTTTTTTTACAGAACATTTTAAAGGGGACCTTTCATGAAAATATGTCTTTTTCCATGTTTAAGTGCTATAATTGACTCACCAGTGGGCGGGAAAAGTGACAACCCAGTAATGTTGTTTTGGTAAGCCTTTCTCGGCAAGTATGTCAAAAAATAAGCCAATCAGATTTCGCTCCCCTTCTGATGTAGAAAGGGGATCTTATTATAATATTACCACCCCTATTACCAATCTGCAAGTTTCCACCCACAGAGCTGCCATTTGGTTTATGCATAATTCGCAAGTGACAACAGTGTAACAAGTTCTAACGCAAAGCATGCAAACTGCTCTGTCGTTGGCTGCACAGACAAGCACAGGACACCATTTATCCCTTTAAACTGAGCATAAGTGACAGTAAAGAAATATGTACAAATATTTATATTTCAAATCAAGTAGAATCCTGAAAAAAATCATCATGGCTTCCATATTTCAATATTACTATTTTTGATAATATTACTATAAATGCAGTCACAAAAGAGACTTCTTTCATTTTTAACATTTTTAACATTATTGACTACAGTAAGTGTATTTGATTGTATTTCTTGTGGTTATGATACCGATGAACTTCATGATGTGAATTCTGGGATGCTGTTAAACTGCACTAAAGCAGATCTCATAAAGTCTTAAACTTTTACATTTTAGGCACACAAAAAAGGCACAATGATAATTTTATAATTTCATAAAATAATAAATAATAATAAAACCATATTTTCAAGCTTACAAGCATAAACCTTTAAAATGTTTTTAAGATTATGAGAACCATTCTGTCAAATGAATCCAAACTTTTGACTTATACTCAAACACCATGCACTTACTGTGCAAATGGTTACTGCATCTGCATATGCGTTTGCTACTCTTACAAATAACAAAGCCTGTCTACATATTAACCCATACACAGTTCTGACATCCTCAGGTTTTCTCCAAAACAACACACTTAAAGAGAATGTGTGTGTGAAGCCAACCCTCTGCAGAGCTGTAGTCAGAACCTTCTCATTGGGACCAGTTGAGAAACTGCAACATCACAGCTGCATCCCTCCCTCCATTTCATCTCTTCTGAACTGTCTGGCTACAAGTAGGTCATACAGAGGAAGGGGGAAGGGCTGCGGATCTAGGAGAGAGCAGTGCACTCTGGGTAGTTCACTGCGGATGAAGGGAATGTTTTGGCGAAGGCTGCAGCAAAGCATTCATTTGGATACAGTGAAGCTGCTGCTGGCCTTACGGTTGGGAAACCTCTTTGAAATGGAAGGTGAACAAACAGTTAGACTCACCTGAACACACCTCATGGTAGGTGGGGTTAGGTGTGAAGCCCCCAGCATAGCCCACTTGTGTAGAAAACACACCAGGAAGCCTCCAGAAGCGCCTCTCTGCTCCCCAGAAACATCCCATACCTGAACAGAAAAGGGACAGACATTAAACGGCAAATAATTATAGGATTCACTTAAAAAGAGACAAAATTGTCTTTTTGGTTCCACAATAAAGCCTTCCTAACTTCAGCTGTTTGACATTAAACAAAAGTCAAAAACAGACGTTGATACCGTTAAAAATTAAAAATGCTAGATAAAACCTGAAAATGGCATTTTATTATTTTTTTAAATATTATTTTCATATAACTTTAACAAAATATATTTTTATGCTTATTAGAGTATAACCTTTTAGCATAGTCCCATGCTAATATCAATCTCAAATGGAATCAACTGCGAGCTTTAGATGCCTTGTGTGAAAAGCAATTTTTCATGTGTGTGACCATTGTTATGGCCAATGTATAGCACTTACACTACATTTCAAAAGTTAAGATTTTGAAAGAATAAAATAATACTTTTATTCAGCAAGAATGCATTAAATTGTTTAGATGTGAGAGCAAAGACACTTAAAATACTACAAGACATTTCCATTTCAAATAAATTAAACATTCTATTTATCAAATAATCCTGAAAAAATATATCACCTTCTTTCACAACAATATAATTTTTTTTATTAACTGATATTAATAAAAAAATATTTCTTGAGCACCAAATCAGCCTAATACAATGATTTCTGAAGGATCATATGACACTGAAGACTTAGCTAAGCCATCACTGAAATAAATTACATTTACATTTTATATTAAAATAGAAAATATTTCCTTTCGAACAGTAGTGTATACGCGGTTCCTTTTCAGTTAAAATGCTGTCTTAGATGCTGTCTGCAGGCAACTTACTAGGTCTTGGAGCAGAACTACTGTTCTGTATCAATTGAATCTGTTCATTTAAACTGGCTCTTAGCCACATTTTTATTGGCTCGGGAAATCAAGAGGAGAGAGGGGGAGAAATTAGATAGGAACATGACCCAGCCTGGACTCAAACCCAGGTTTCCCATGAGCCACCACTCTGACACAAGTGGTACTCTAAGAAGCAATGTATTAATTGCACCCAAGGATGTCTGGAATATGATCTTCTCCAAACTCACCAAACATCATCATCTCCATGCTGTCAGGAAATGGTTCCACTGTGGGGTTCCCATTGGCGGTGTGCTTTACTGCAGAAACATAGGCGAGAGAAACACAGCAATATAAATGTTCTGTTATCAATGGGGTGTACGTGTGCACAAGGTGGCACTGTTCCAGATGGTGGGACTGTCAGAATGGTTTCTGTGGTGAGGATTATTGCAGATTTGCCTGGTCTTCTCAGGCTAAGCTGAATCAGTGCTGCTGTTTCTGCAGTGGGAGACACTTAGCCGATTACACTGCTGTACCTCCCCCACCCAACACACACACACACACACACCTCTAAACCATCCAGAGAAGGTCACAAACCATGAGTGACGTGAACGCATCGGAAGGAGGCAACACCAGCTCTCTGAAAGCCCTACAGAACGACCTGCAGTGGATTAGGCCACAGAGAGAGAGAAAAAGAGGGTGGACAAACAAAATGTTTGCTGAGTTGGATGGATGAGGCCAACTGTGCCATACTGGAATTAGAGCAGTAAAGAGGAAGAAAAAAGGGGCACAGATGTGGGGAGGATTAGAGCTAAGAAGACTGAAGTGATTTACCACCTAAATCTCCAGGCAGCAAAGGATAGTGGTTTACACACAGAGCACTAATATTAGCATATGGATGAAGAGATGTGTCATGGCCCCACAAACAAACACACACAATAGTGCATTTAGGGCAACATGCACCCCATTCCCCTTTTAATCTTCCTAAAGTTTAGACTATACATGATTATGACCTGAATACTGAAAATCTGTCCATTACTGATTGCAAAAGCTTGGTATGAATGTTAGCCTAGCGTAGCATTGCTCTAAATCCCTAAGTATTAAACTTTGGCTGCAGACATGAATGATGCCCCAAATTTTGTGGCTGGGTTCTCCTGGTAAGGAAAGGTGTGATATTACTTTTCTAAGATTTCAGATTTTCTCCTGACGGACATAAACGTGTGAAACAACAAACCCTTATAGATGTGCATTGAGGAAGGAAAGCAAGCCATTTCTAGAAACCAGAACATAATAGAGACTTAGGGGTGGGTACCTTTGATTTAGGGCAGTAAACAACCAGCTAGCAATGATATTTTGCAAGGACAATAACATCTCACATTTTGTTAAAAAAAAAAAATCGAGAATCTATAGAGGTACAAACTATATTCTCAAAATCCACTAGTAGGGGAGTTTAGTCAAAAGATTAGTCAACTAATCAGAAGCCCTGAACAATTAAATGTTGTAGATTTTCTGACCCCAATTAGGCACTTTATTTATAGGCTTTTGCATTCAATAACAGTTAGATGTAGTGCAATGGATATAACAGACTTTTTCATTTAAAAAAAGTTTTTAATTTTGACGAAGGCCCTGTTTACGCCTGGTATTATGCATTTTCGTTGATCCGATTACAAGTGGATGACAAGTGTAAACAGGGCAAAAGACTACTCTGGCAAGCCGTTTTAGCTTAAATTGTATCCAGCCTTACTTGTCGTAATTGTATTTTTACTATTAAGAATTCGATTAGAGAGCCCTACAATTCAATTCTTACTAGGAACAATTACAATTAGAGAGCTCCACAAATGAATTCTTTCTAGTCATCTTCCATTCATTTTTAATTACAGAGCTCTACAATTGAATTGTTACTAGCAAGTATGCAATTACAGAGCTCTCTAATTGAATTTAAGTGCTCTGCAATGGCATTCTTACTAGTAAGAACTGAATTAGAGAGCTCTCAAAATGAATTGTTACTAAGAATGCATTTTGCAGAGCTCTTTAATTGCATTACTAGTTACAATTGAAATAGAGAGCTCTCTAATTGAATTAAAGAACTCTGCAATTGAGTTGTTACTAGTAAGAAGTGAATTAGATAGTTCTCTAATTGTAATTGTTACTAGTCATAATTGGATTAGAGAGCTCTTTAATTGTAATTCTTGTAATTAAAAATGAATGCAAGTCAATGGAGACATGAATAGTAAGAATTCATTTGTAGAGCTCTCTAATTGTAATTGTTACTAGAAAGAATTGAGTAAGAGAGCTTTCTAATTGTAACTGCTAGTATGAATTGAATTGTAAAGCTCTCTAATTGAATTCTCACGTATTGTGGGAGTTCAGTTCACAATTTTTAAAATGAACTAGTTCAGTTCATAGTTCCTACTTCACAATTTTGAACTAAGTTCACGGTTCCAAAAAATGAACTAGTTCATAGTTCTTTTTTTCCGTTCCGAGCTATTTTTTTTTTTTTTAATTATTGCCACAACCACAGACAGCAATTATTTTATTGGCAGGCAAAGTTTGCAAGAAATGTAAGATTTTTCCCATCCTCACCAGCCTTGTCTTAAAACTGATCATATATGACGTCTCCTCGATGTTTTGTCGACGTATGCTGCTTCTTGTTTTGATGGCGCATGCGGTGTTTCCAGATTGGATGTTTTTCTTTGCTAGATATTAAAGACTGCCAGGTTTTCGCCAGGAAGACTCAATACAAATCTGGCAACCGATTGAACAAAGTTAAACTGACAAAGCATTTATCACAGACACCAGAATGAACACGTTCACAGTAACGTTCAGTACAACTGTACGTTCAGTTCACATTTGACTAATATATAAACATGAACGCATTCAGGCACAACACTGGATGGGACGTGTTGTGTAAGATAGCCCACTGAGCAATTCAAACTTTGCTGCCTTGTGGTAAAACACATGAATTGCATTTAAAAACGCACTTTCGTTTTCCATTTTATTAGCTTTCTTTCCTGATCTGACAATCCACATAACATGCGACTACTATTCGTTCTATACGTAATCCATGTAAGAAAATCCCCCCCCCCAAAAAAAAATAAAAATGCTGTAAGACGTGATGCAATGGCCAAAGACATATTGCTGTCTGTTACGCCAGTGCTTTAAAGGGACTTAAAAGAAGCAAAACACTCCCTTAGAGGGTTTTCCTGTGCAGATAACAGCTTAAGCACAGCATGCTAATTAAAGATTGTGATATTTTTCCTCCTAAACCAGTTCAACGCAAACTCTACTCCACAGCTGATTTTAAATATGTCACTGGTCATGTCAATCACAGAGCTGATTGCCAACACTATGCTAACAACTAACCCCTAACCATACCCGTCCTACACCCTAATCTTACATGGATAGTTCACCCAAAAATGATCATGCTAATAGGCCATTGCCACTAAAAAAATATATAATAACAAATAAAATAAGAACCAGAATTAAAGCACAAAGTGTATTTGGTTTCTTTTGCGAAACTTTAAACTGTTTTGCACACTGAGCATATTTAAAAAACAAAGAACGCCGTTTAACATAAGGAAATGAGATGACAAGCAAACAATGGAGAGACAAAGACAGGCAGGCAAAAGCCATGCTACGAAAAATCAAGATAAAAAGAGCTGCTTGTTTTGTCACCTTGATAAGTGAAGCTTTCTTTTCTTCTTGTTGAAGTGAGGACTTGTGCATTACACACCTCTACAGTCACATTTGCCAAATCTCACTATGTTCGAACAGACCACCTGGCACTGACCTGCCAGCCAAGCGTACAATTATGCCATTTCTAATTTCTGCGAGGGAGGATCTGAAAAGAAAAGAGGAAAAAAAAAAACACATTTTCCAAATAAAAAAGGTGAGAATTGGAAGATAAATGAATTTCAGAGTGAGTGATAACGACAGGGAATGGCACAGGAATAAAAGCGAGGGATGCGCAACAGATTAGAGCAGCGGAAATAAGGAGCTACACGTTTTTTGTCTCTCATTCCTTCATCCTTTTGCAGCAGATGAACACACAGCCACTCAATCCAGTGAGAAAAAAAAATAACGTAACAAACAAACTGGAATGAAGTGAACCTAGCCAAGAACACGCCAACATAACCAACATCCACAAAAGCTCTGGCACCGCAAACCTAGAGTTTTCTCTCTCTACCATTCTCCAACCTCCTCCCTCCACCTTCCCATAATGCCTTTCTCTTTCTCTCTCCCTGTTCTATCTATCTCTCTTTCACACACTCACACACCAACCACAGCAGTGGGTATTTCTCCCGAGGAGCTCTGGCATGGCTCCAGGAGGTGCCAGTCTGCCTCCTTTAACAGTGCCCCGTGACTGTGCCAAAAGACGCCTTCGCCAACACCACACCACCTTACCAACCGCTCTGCCGAAAAAAGGACAGCGAAAACAAAAGGGAAAAAGAGGAATAAAGAAAGTGAGGCAAAGGAAGGCGGGTGAGCCTGACAAAAGAACCAGAAGAGGACTTTTTTATTGGAGCGGCAAGATTGGAAAAAGGACCTTTCTTCTCCAAAACTTTCATTAGAACGGACTTCATTTGGGGTGAATTGTGTTCCGGCAAACAGAAGAAATAGCAATTGTCTTGTCAAATATCAGACATCGCGCAGAATTGCAACACTATTTCTCAGGGTATTACATGTTTTTCCTGCAAAGTCTGCCCATCCATCATCCTGGCATTGGAATGACCCTTCACAACCCCTTACACAGCAACTTTCTCGTAACCCAACGATCCAATGTTAATCTGGACTATAACAGCACGTTTCTGTGGTCAACGGATGCGTTTGAAAGGAATACTTGTCCAAGTAACATTGGCATATGGATAAATTGGGATTGGTTGGATGCATATCACTGGTGTTTGATCTAGGACTTTGGTTCAGACAACTCAAAGTCACAAAAGAATCAATAGAATCAAGGTTTTCAAGCAAAAAACCCACTTAAATCCTATTATACATGCAACTAGTTGAGTGAAATATTGATTTGCCTGATTCCATGTCCAAGCACATTTTCTTGATGGTAAAACATGTCTCCTGGTTCAAGTATGACTATATAAAGAAATGTATTGTGGGGAAAAGGTCTATATTGTGTGTGGAGGCCTACCTGCTGAGTTTATGACTCTGAAAAGCAATATCAGTCTAAAAGTGACTTAACGGACTGGTTTCCACGTTATTGTTAAACATGGCATATTCAAGACCATTTCTGTTGGAACGCAACAGCACCTCATGCTGGGTCAACTTCAATCAGCTGAGACACTGGAGTCACCGACAAGTTCAAGTGCCTGTATGTCCCCTGGAGGCGACTGCTGATGCATTCATACCATACTTTCTATTCAAACCTGTATCCAAGCAACCATTTCTGGTTGCTATGGTGAAGAATGGCCCCCCCTCATCACTACAGTTTGCAAGATAGTGCACTTAATCTGTGGAACACCTCCAGCATTCTGATGCCCGTGACAAAACATAAGCAGTTGTAGATAAAACAATATATTCAGAACCTAAGCAAACAAACGTCAACTTTCTGAATGACTTGATGATGCTAAATTGAAGTAATGCCTGTATAAAAGTGTTCCCAAATTGCTTTACTCAGCATGAAGACTCCAATAATAGTCTATATTATAGATGTTTTTTTTTTTTTTCAAATGACAAAGCTCATGATTTATACTAAAAGGTCAGTGTATTGTAAAGTAAGGGTTTGGAATCTCGGCCACTAACTGAAAGGTTACGGTTTCAATCTCAGGAAGGGAAAGCTGAGGATCGGGAGAGCTACTTTGATTTCAGTTTTACTCCTTTCACCACTGTGCCCTTGAGCAAAGCTTTTAAATACAACCTGTTCACAACTGGCCGAGCCTCCTATTTGTGTATTCTATGCTCTTTTGGATAAAAAGCATGTGCTTAATACTTCTAAGACAGTATCTGGAGGTGATGGAAAAGCAGTAGCAGTCATCCAGACACTCTTTACAGAAATAGTTTTGTTGCCAAGGTCACGTGAAATTGCTCTTTAATGGCACTGATGTGAAATGTGCATTATTTCAAAGGAAATACACCGAATAATACGGCCTGTTTGAATCACAAGTCATGCTAGTAAAGTGATTACATACACTACTAAAAATATATATACATATTTTTTTTAGACATTTCATTCGATGACATCAAATGAAATGCATATTTTGACGTCAGATTTAAACAAACTGCTAATAAAGACATTTAAATGGAGAGGCGTGACTGTGGCGATGACATCAGTACATTTTCTCAGGCTGTGCCAGCATGGCAACAGCAGGTAAGGTTTGATCATCCTCCCCAAAACCCTGTTCCACCCCCCATGGATGCAGAGGCCCAGAAGCTTCCGCCATGCCGTGACAGCGAGCTGCTTCGACAGAAGGGCCGGGAACGCGTGACGGGGGCGGAGCTTTCATGCGCATAATGCACAGATGGAACCCTGGACACTGCTAGGGCACCAGAACTCCCAGGATGCACCAGGCCAGCAAAACTGTCATGGTTATATCTGAAGGCACAGTCACCCGATTTATTGTTTGCTGGTGATTACAGAGTTTCGTTGATTATTTACAGTGAGGAACTCCACAACCATTTTTAGAATAAGGGCATAGAGTGCCTAGTACTCAATTGTGCCGAGTTTTACTCTAAAAAGACAAGAACTCAGTCCTGCCAAGTAAGCCAAGAACTGATGAATTTTGTATGACCCCTTTCATCTAAATGTAGCAGAGTATCATATATGTAAAATAAGTAAATGTGGGCTTCACTAGCACACTAAATGTTTAGTTCTGAAGCATTTTAATGCTGGTTATCATCAAATCCTCCCAGCCTAATGAGAGTTTGACGTCACTGAGAGTCAATCAAATATCCAAAAGAGACATTTTCTCATTATTCTGTTTTTAGCCTTTAAGCTTTTGCTGACAAAAAGAAAATGGTAACCATAGTTTTTTAACAGGTCAACTATTATTTCTGGGTCATTTCAACAATTTACTACTTTTTATGTTCTCAATACAAATTGACATTAATAATATTAAATGTCAATAGACTATAATTTCAGTGGGTTAAAAGGAATACAGACCTTTTTATATTGCACACTTTTGGAGTAAACTATTTTTTTTATCCATTTAAATAATAAAAAAATTGGTTATTTACAATATTAATACTAATAGTGAAGTAGTTTTGAGTTACTGTCCATCTTCCTTTGTTAATCTAAATACTTGTAAATAAATAAATAGATACATAGATTTAGGTGGTATGCAGATTTTACTTGGTTTACTTCCCTACAATATATTTTTAAGACAATGACATTAATGTGATGAAAGTGAGATCAAATGTTATTCTAATAACTTTAAATACCATTTGTTACTATTTGGTGTTTTCCATACCCAGCATTAATGGTATGGAGATTTAAAGATAATTTAGATAATTTACAATATATGCAATAATAGTTATCTAAAAAAAAATGTAGCCTCAAATAAGATCGAAGGATACATTACTGTATCTCTTGATTATTAAAAAAAGTGTAAAAGTGAAGAAGTAGCCTACATTTTAGTATAATAATTCTATTAGGGTATATAAAAAATATAAATCATTAAATTGCAAGTTTCAAAACCCAAAAGGAAATGAAAAAACATTAGCTACACGCTTGGGTAAGGTATTCTATTAGGTAACTTGCTATCTCTTCCATCAGAAAAAAAAAAATACGTTAGAACAAGGAATAATTCTTCACTACACTGTTTGAAGGACATTTGATTAATTTATTGTTAAGTAACTTTAACTGTGGCATTATTCGGAATTTCGGTAACTATGGTTTTTGTTTGAATGCACTGATGTCCCGGATGTAATGTGCCACAGGAGAGATTATTCTATGAGAAACGCTCGAGTGTCACATTCATCCACCTGCTTTTACATCAGTGTCCCTTCACATGTGACATGACCCGCAGCGTGGCAGCCGAATTTCACGAAAGACAGAATTTACCTGCCACGACCATTTTCTCCTCCCTGCCATTCAGTGAGCGCTCTTTGGCGACCAAAACGCTCTTGTTCGCCATATTGAGCTGCTGAGCGACTGTCACGCGCAAATCGAGCAGCAGGACGATGACGGTGAGGATGACGACCGTGTGCGCTCCTGCTTGCAGAAATAAACATGTCCGCGCGGCCGCCATGGACCTGAAGGAGGAGTGAGGGGACAGCCTCGCCCACCTCATGAATATTCATCAAGTGATGGCTGACTTCGCCCGATGAATATTAACTAGCCAGAGGTTAATGTGACTTTGCCACAAAAGCCTCCCGTGCGGTATGTGCGGGTAAGAAATTGAATTAAAATAAATATCCACATTAAGATAGCAGTTCGGCATGCAAATGAGCGTCACACGTCTGACTGCCAGCATAGCAAAACTGAGCATCTGTGTAGGCTACTGTCGTAGTCGTAGAGGAGTGCGGCTGCATACATTAAAATTAGCATCTGGAATCCATTCATCATGATTATTGCTATTTCTGTGCATGTATATACTTGCATTATCCGTTCCATTGCAGTGGCTGCTTTATTCAAGTACAAGTGTCAAAATAAAGGCACTACCTAGCCTGTCAAAGAAAGGATGCAATGCCTTTCTTAAACATTCAATTCCTCATTTAATTCAAGACAGTGCCATAAAAAAGCAGTATAACACGAAATTGTCAATTTAGGTCATCATCTAACCTTTTAATTCACTGAATGTATGCTGTGCTTAAACCTTCAATCCAAATATATTCTCTGCTTTAAAATATTGAACAATGTTAACAGACCACCAGTGATCCACAGAATCCCATAAGCTCAAGATTTGTAGCTGTAATGTCTGCAAGTGTAGCCTTTCTTTTCTGTGTGTTTGAATAGGCTACTCCTAGACAGGGTTGTTTCAACCACATTTTAACTATGGATGGATGGATACATTAGATAGGCCTACATATGCATAGTGTAGCCTAAATCAAGAACATTTGTAAAAGATGTGGAATTATTCAGGTTTTTTGAAGTAAATAAACATTAGGCTTCATCATACTACATGCTCAAACTGGAGGGATGAATCAAAGACAAAGATTCTTACTGTTTGAGGGCCATTTACCACTGTTCGTTAGCGTTAGCATTTATGCTTTTTGCAGACGCTTCTCATACCACTTGGAGGTTCAGATCCAAGAAGTCTGATATGATGCAGGAGGGCTGAATATATGGATTTTGTTAATGATAAATTAAAGGTTAAGTAATAGAAAAGTTCAAATATACATCCAAAGACAGAAAAGGTGAGCGCAAGTGATACATGGATTTACAGGATGAGGTAATCAGAGATTAATTACGGCCATCTCTAAAGGGTTTGGCCTATAGTGTTTTTGGCAGCAGGTTTGATGGGTTAGTTTTAAACATTGAGTTGTTTTGTGAAGGCATTTACGTCACACTTTGAGAGTGTTGTTAAGCTTTGACTGCTAACGGCATACACACACACATCTATTTCTGATTAACATGAAAAAGAAAAGAGGCAGTCGACTGTTGGGTGTTTTAGCATAATTGTGTCTTTGCTGGTCTCACTCGAGTGAGATGCTTAATTAAAATAATAAATCACGCTTCTGCGTCACCACTAAAGAAATCCTTTTTTTTTTCTTTGCCCCCTCACTCACACAAAATGTATCGTCAGTGTGTCCGTGAAGGTCACACTGCAACCACTGTGTCCAATCCAGGGCCGCCCGCATCCACCCAATCCCACTTCAGGATTAGCTGGTGAACTCGTTAACTGGTTAGCAGATATCATCCTCCCCTACCCCACCACCCTTGCTGTATTTAACCCGGAGCAGCCTTGAGTAAGACACTCTTACCCCACATGGGATGGTCAGATTACAGCTTCCCCATAATCCTGCATGCACATTCTGCATCTCTTTCTCTCTCTGTTTCTATCTCTGGATACACTTGCATTGCTCAAAAGTGTCGCATGTAGTAGACAGAGGGTTCTGCCAGGACCACTATTGTCAAGGATGATTGACAGTTAGCAGCATACAGTTTGGATTGGCCCCCCTTGAAATCGAGGGAATAGCTCGCTCTGGGCATTCCCATCCATGCAGCCTAGCATGGACAGGAGCAGCAAGAGCAGTGATACCCCCCATTGCAGATATATTTAATGTTCAAAAATGTAATGTACAACATCATTCGAAAAATGAGTCTGATTAGAAGAGGAATATCGAATATCAGAGGCCAAGTCCTGACTGGACGAGAGGAGGAGCAGGGGATGGTGGAGGGTAATTAGCTCCTGAGGAACGTTATTAATCTGCTTTAATACTGAATGGAACTATACGCCGCATTCCTATAGGTAGACATGGATCAGCTGAGAGTCAGCTGATGCGAGCTTGACTGACGTGACCTGCCTCTAATGCTATGCTTCATTTTTCGACCATATTAAGAGATGTTTCAATTTAATTTAGGGGTCTGGAATGTCACTATTATGATATTAAATTCAGAATATATTTTTAATGCATTAAAGACCTTTAAAAACATTTTTTGCTTTTAACAAGAAATCTTTTAAACTTTCTATTTATCAAAAAAACCTGAAAAAATAACCATGGTTTCCTAAAAAAAAGTTTCAAGCAATACAACTGTTATAATATTATTAAATGTTTCTTGAGCACCAAATCAGGCTATTAGATTGATTCCTGAAGGATAATGCGACACTTAAGACTGGAGTAATGGCTGCTGAAAACTCAGCTTTGACATAAATATATAATAATCACACTCGAAAGCCCTAATCAAGTGTCTGTCCGCAGCTCATTGCGTGTGATGAACACTGCAGGGACCTTTGCGACACAGCTTCTGTTTGCCCTCGTTTATTCATTTGATTTTTTCATGCCCATTCTTTCCCATATTACCCACTACCAAGAAGCTAAATATTACATGTACAGATTCTAACTCCCAAGTAACAACAATTCTAGTGGGCAATATTATATTGTTAGTTAAATCCATGCACACAGCTCCCCCTTTCTTTCTCTTGTCTTGTCTTGCCGGCCACCTGTCTTTCCTCCCACCCTTCTCTCGTCCCGTTGGAGCTCCTCGCTCACCTGAAGCCTTGTTTGGCATCCTGTGCTGGGATTATGTTTAATCTGGTAACATGCCACTGGCCTCCCTCCCCCTCCCCCTTCTAGTCATTCTTTTCCACCCCGCTCTTGTGCAGAAATCTGTGGCTGTAGGCTTTTAGTGTCTCTTATAGGCATTTTACATCATGCTAAATTCACTAGGAAAAAGGGGGAAGCGCTATGGGAGTGCTTTATAAAAATATATCCAAATTCACACAGGCATGCTTTTTTATGATCTGCTTTCTTAAATTGAATACATGTATGTGTATTGTACAAAATAAATCTTATGATCACAAAGGTTGTATTTATTTGATCAAAAAATACAGTAAAAACAGTTATATTTGTGAAATATTATAACAATTTAACCTTCAAATGGTCTTCATTTCCTTCTGGGCTTCAGGTCTATACGACCCCAACAATTGATTGAGTAATTGTACAAAAAATATACATTTTTAATCATACAAATAATATATCATTTTTTTGTTTACTTCTCATCTATTCATTAATGCTGTGTTTTTGGAGATATAAAGTACCTTTTTATCCATATACCACACAATTCCTCAACTGCACCATTAGCTTTAGCATTAGCATATGAAATGTTATTTTTTTATGATACATTGCATTTATGCTCTAGTACTAGGCCTTCATTTCTGTGTAAAAAATTCAGATTTATGCTGGATTTTTATATAGTTTTTTTTTTACATTTCCCATTCATTTCAATGTGGGGTCATATTGACCCCGAAGACCAGAAGTGTAAACATTTTTTTTTTACATACCTTCAGAACAACTGAATCAAGCCCAGTTTTTTTTTGTGTGTGTATAGATAGATAATGTATGAAAAGTCACAAAATCTTATTCCACTGAGATGAAGGGAACCTTTTTTTTTGTTAAGTCGATTGAGGTCGTATAGACCCCACCCGATTGAGGGTTACGGTAACTGTCATCTATTCTAATATATTTTCAAATGTAATTTATTCCTGTGATCGCAAAGCTACATTTTCAACAGCCTTTAGTGTCACATGATCCTTCAGAAATCATTCTGATATGCTGATTTGGTGAAATCAAATGTTAATGTTGAAAAATGTTGAAAAATATTAAATGCTTAATGTTTTTTTTGTGGAAACTGTGATTATTTTTTTTTACATTTTATAATAAATTCTATTACATAATATATATATTAAAATGCGTGTATTTTACATACATGTTTTGAATATAATACAAATATTAAACACAAACCGTATAATGTAAATGCAGAAAATACCAACAACAAAAAATCCACCCATCTTCAATCTCAGAATCCACATGCAACTTCCTGAATGAATGCATTGAGCTCAGAAAGAGATTATAAACCAAGCCAAAACAATAGACGCAGTATTTTCGTCTCATCTGTGCATAATGTGATTGTGTCATGGGAGATTTACCCATCAGCTCATGAAAGGCCGATTCCAGTGCAAAGTCTGTGATGTGATGGGATAAACATAATTTATTTTGATCATTTGGGTATAAATATTATTTAATAAACTTTGAACATAGTAGCTATAACATGAAAATGTTTAAATGACTTTAAATACCCACATTAGTTGCAAGATGTACATTAAATCTATATCTGAAGTGCCAAAGAAATCAGAAGAAAAAGAAAGAGAGAGGGGTGGAGGAAGTTAACTAAGGACCATTCATTGCTGTAATGGTGTCACCAGTCAGTTAGGGTCAATCTAACCCACTGCCTTTAATTCACTGCAGGGCACGCTCACACTTACGCAGATGCGTAATAATGCACATTTTCCACATGTTTTTTTTAAATGATGCACCTTTGAGTCAGAGACTGCTCATTAAAAAATAAACCTGAATCAATTCTACCCCACAGTCTGACAGTGCGCAACTGTCATTACAGAAAAACACTACGATTAAATATTACAAATGTTTACCTATTAATCTTTATAAACCGAGCCTGTTTGTATGTGTGGCCTATCGTCTGAGCGTAGCTGATTATTAAAAATTACCATTCGTCTCTCTGCTTAAATAGGCCGCAAAATTGATTTGCCTTCCTGTTGCTGCCTCTGACAGTCTCACTGACATGTTCTTATTATCAGCAGTACGAGCAGTATCACATACATTAATCAGA